TTCACCTTAGTATTTACAAATAAAATTTTAATTTTCTTTAAAATAGAGATTCCCACAAAATTACATATCCTGTGTATACAACTGTTTAGGGGTATGTCACAAAATTCTCAACACTCATGATATATAACAAAACTGACAAATATTTTCCTTTTATGCTTTATTGTCTTTCATTTAAGCTTCATTTTTCTGCAATTATAGACGTCTTATCAATGATTCCTTGTTTGGAGGCTTCTTCATCTTCTTTAGTTTTGTTTTATCTTGTCTTTCCCTTGCTTTTACTGGTATTATTTACAAATAACAAATAAATTAAATGATCGTGACTCCTTATGTTTAGTCTAATCTTGGAAAAATCAAACTAATAAATAGTGTGAGGCCAAGAGGAGTCTTTGTAGTTGGTCCAGGCTGCATTAAACACTGCTGTGATTTGAGGACATTATCAGTAGGCTGATTCACTGATAATCAAAAGAATACTGGAACACCAAAGTGGAGATGAGGAACTTGATCATTATGTTTTTCGTTTGTTTGTTTTTGTGAGTATAGCCCAAGAAATGACACTTGCAGCATAGTAAAACCTGGTTCCACCTGGGACGTTTTTCTCTCTCACAAGATTCATCACATTGATCCAACGGCTGTACTTCTTTCAATTTTGCTGTCGCATAGTACTTTTTTGGTGGATTTTGTGATTTTGTGTTATGCATCAATAACTTAATAATATAGAAATTGGTACCTGGAAGTGAGATGCTGTCACACACAAAAAACCATAAAATATGTCATGTTTTCTCCAGGACTAGTGGGCAGATGACAAGGAAACTGGAAGGAAAGGTTGTTGGGAAGCATAAGCCAAAGTTACGTAATAACTTTATAAATGGAAGTTCTGCATCTTTATGAACTCATACGTATTAATCTTTCTCTATGGCCAATTTATGTGTGTGTCTTGTTTTAGAATTCTATGTCTAAACTGTAATTTATATGGAGGCATATTAACACCTTAAAGCTGTGTGTGTGTGTGTGTGTGAGCATCTTTTCATGCACTTATTTGTCCTTTTTATTTTAACAGCTCTCTAGCCTGGTCTTATGAATCTCAATACACATTCTGAAGAAATAAATTATTTCCTAAATCTTAACCAGTCTGTGTTCTTTTTATGTTACTTTTTTGTCTCCCATTATATCTACTGCGGTGATAAAACTGACAAATT